TTATGGAACGTTGCATTAAAAATATACATGCTTGACGGCTGACGAAAACACATCAAAGATACCCAGTATCGAAATTTTTCTTTCAAATATTAAAATATATTAGTTAAACAAAAAATAGAGGGTTTTTGCCACTTTGACGCAGGCTTGCCGTCAAATAAGTTTACTTGGTTTATAAGATACCAGACGTGTTCTGCGTTTGATCCTTGATTAATAACATTCAATTTCCGGAGTCCGGCTTCTGAAGTGATGTATTCATTCTATTTTTGACGTTAACGTGATATTACAATCGAAACTTATGCAGCATTCTACCATTTGTAATGTTGAACGTGTTAGACGGCTGAAAACGTGAATGCAATTTCGAGTAGATATCGAAGTTGCAACATTGTGCTGTATGTAGGCTATTATACGTGTTTGATATTCATTCCGTAAAAACGAAAATCCATAGTATCGATTTTCCCTTTTTATTAAAAAAATGATCATGTTATTTCACATCATATATATATACAGAGCCAGAGAATTTTCTCCCGTACTCGAAGACGTAACCCGACAGCGTGAAGAGGCAAACTTACGCAAAACTGCAGTGACATTTTAAGAACGTATACATTTGAATATATTGCAGAAAAAATAAACATTGCTGCAAAAAAAAATTATTTTATTTTATCAAACTGTACAAGGTGGGCTAAAGGTACTCCCGTAGTGTGTGTACCATGTTAGGGTTAGGCCATAATTTCATTCCGATTTTCCTTAATTTAGTTCGATTACGTGTTCGGAGACTGCCTGTGTTAGCCAAGTGAATATATATATCCCCTGCTCATAAGTTTCAGTCCCATTGTGCAAATTGATGTAAATTAGGCGAACAAAATTATTTACCTTCATATAGGTACACACATTTCTGGAGCGCCGGGCTAAAAGTAGTTTGCACAGACAAATAAAGTAATTGTGATCCCACTTTTAGCACACCCAATAATGACACTTATTATTTAACAAATCTGTCGCACTAATCGAAATCTGGCACCTGGGTCTCATCTCAGATTTCATCAAATTTATGACTCTCGTCATCGTCTTTAAATAAATACCGGCATATTGAATACAAACACCTCGTAGATAGAAAAAAGTACCAATAAGAAGCATCGTGAAAAGACGGAAATTATTGAAAGTAATAAGCTTATTCATATCAGTCGCCGTTCAAAGTTACGATATGAAAAATGTTCAAGTTACCGATTATAAAATAAATAGTGCACGGTAAAAGATTTAAACAAAACTTCAAAATGCATAAACACATACCGCCTGCTCTAGTCGATTAACGCGACTATGGAGATCCCACAGGAAATAATGACATATACGCTTGAAAGCTAGGATAGTACTCTATTCCTGCTCCGATGAATGATGAAATTTTCAATAGCTGATTTATATTACCATACAGCCTATATTATCTAATACTGACGCTATTCCATACGGTTAGAATAGATTCGAAAAAAATATAGAACTTCAAGTATATATACCGTTTATTTGATGCATGATGCAATATTCGAAAATTGGATCCGAAATAGATTACAGTACATCATATATATAATTCTTACATCGGCTATATCGTCATTAAATATGGTTTATAAAAATGTACAATAAAGGGACTGAGTCAAATCGGTGACGTGTTGATGTACTATTTTCTTTGAATCTGGAAAACGTCACTTACACAATCGAGTTTACGAGGCTGTTTGGTATAAATTTGGCGCCATTGGTTCTATAATAAAATTTCACGACTGAGCGTTCTGGGGTTGGTGGATGATTAGACAATACATAGTTCTACAGAATATTCAAAAAATATGTTTTTATTTAAACTTAAAATAGGAAATTTTTGCTTAAAATATATTTTTGATATATATTGCGTTATCACCATACAAACCATTGTCCAAGTTATTAGTGAGATACGTTGTCTATTGACTCCTGTGGCCAAAGAAACTCTATTTATACTTGAATAATTTTTTTTTCCTAAGAACTTGATGTGAATTGGTTCAATTTTAATACTAAAAAATTACCTAATTCGATTTTCGTCTATATCTAAACCGTGCTGCCCTGGTTGTAATCTTGTAGTTCCATGATTCACCTAAGTCTACATTGTAAACCGAATAATACATTTTCGTTATATACACGCAACTACCAATACAAAGTCTGCAATTTCACTTTACTGTTCTGATTTACGACTTCTTGAGGATAATCGAGTCCATTGCTGATGACGTAAAAGTACACAATATTTCAACATCTGTTTCTACAATTATCATTTTTTTAGCGTGAAATGGGGAAACACTATGAGCTCACGCGAAGCATGAGTTTTACTTTATTTTTAACTGCTATTTGTTTGTTTTCTTTTTGCATTATTTCTCATATTGTATCAAGTACATAGTTCCATGACTGTCGAACTATGTGTGTTTGGGCCACTGCAACTGTTTGTGTGCCACCAGCCCATGTGTATATAAAAGATTTTTCATTCTCGTTATTCCATTTAAATGAATGTCCCTATTACGTATGTTGTCGAGTTTTTCTATTCATTTTATTATCGCGGCTTTGTCTTACATTCGATTAGTTTCGAATTTTTGGGCGAATTTGTAGTTGTATTTCAAAATTTATTTTCCTGATTTTTCTTGACACTACAGATCTGTTTTATTGTTTATCTCTAGCGCAGTTTTTGAGTCCGCTGTGTAAAATTACGTTTTCGAACCCAAATGACTTATACCCGACTGTTTATACTGTACACTGTATTTAGAATATTGTTGTTTAACTGTGCACAAACTACTCTTACGACAAGCAGTCCAGTTTAGACAAATATGATTTACGATTTTATAGGGAGAATCGGACCTATTCTTTTTGACGTATATGTACAAAATTGTTACCATCCATCACTTAAAAAGCTTCTTGTTGTCCATTGTTGACAGTAAAATAATTTGGTAAATAAATCATCTTTAAAAGTTGATTAACGAGCTTGTGGGTTGAATGATTTACTATCAACGAGGTATTAAACAGCAGAGGTTCATTAAGGGGTTCATTTATGATGTCATAATAAATTGACAATCTAACATGACATCACAGTATATCACATTATGTGAATACAAACGATATCAAAGTATGACGTCAAAGTATGACTATTCCTAATGGATTTTGATGCGGGTGGAACAATCTGACAAAGGTAGATGACTTGGTTTTGTGTTTACGAAATCAAAAGAATCAAATCTCAATGTTTTGAACATTCATATTTTATTGTGTGTGGTACATAAACCCGAATTGGGTCAAACAACACAATTTGAAGGTATATAAAAATTATATAACTCCAGGGTGTCTGCCGAAACAACTGGAATTTGTATTGAACAAACAATCCACCTAAGTTGTTGCCTTGGCGCGTTACCGACATTCGCAAACGTTCAAGAATGCACGTGCGCAAGACTGGCAAATTCTACACTGTTCGCCGGGAATATCTGAACAATATTTTATAAGCAGAGTTTTAAATATGCCTCCAATTTTCAGTGGCATTTTTTTCTGCGATCGTTGCCATTCGTCCGTTTGTACATCTGCAAATAAAAATTTGCTTTTTTGCAAAGATGAACGCAGAAAATAACCTGGTTTATAACGTGATGAGGTCGCCTGTTAGTCAGTATCAGTACACGTGTGTATCAATTTCTTTCGTGTGATTTATTTTGATGTGCGGGGAACACCAGAAATACGTAAAAAGCCAGAACCCGAAGTATATCATCCAACATTCGATTTGAACACACCAACACAAGTTTATTTTTGTAATGTTCTGAAGACTTCTTCAGACATGAAAGCGCACGAATACTAATATCTCCTCAAAACTGTTTATCCATGAAAAAGCATACATAATCAAAAATGTTGAAACAATATTACGCAACATTGTTCTTGCCGACAACTGAAATAATATTTGCATTGTTTACCGATGTGAGGAATTTAGTTGACACAAGCGGTATTATCTTAATCTATATATGAACAATCCATAAAAGTTTTCCTTCTAGTGAGGATATTTGCACTAACAAGTAAGGGAAGCCTATCTATCAGGCAATATTCGTCTTTGGTCGGTGATCAATGAAAATCAATTTTGCGACAAGCTCTTACCACCGCTGTGGGTGCTTAGGCATTTACGTGGGATGACGATAATATTCCTCAGTGTAAACTTTTACGAAACTTCCCCTAAGGGGGTGTCATCCTATCAAATAGTTTAAATGTTAAACAACTACTAGGTTGAACGACCTCAGTCCGTATATGAAACACGCCGACTATATGTCAACACGGTGACCGTACATTTGAACCATGTACATCTGAACACATGTGTATATAAAGTTCAAAAAAGTTTGAGAATTTCCAGACTTGTTTCAAATCTACAATTACATGGAGGGAATTACATACCTGGTGGGAAGAGGCGAAATAAGACGATATCAACTTTGATTTTGAAGAACAATGTGTAATATTACTGAAATCATTATTGAATTGTAAATGGGCTCGTTTTTGTAGCTTCATGGAAGTTTTGCATTCTTAAACCATCCGTTTGATTGTTATCTCAAGTCAAATGAATCAATATTTCAGACAAGGTAGAATTATAAATAAGTGTCATATAACAATATGGTCACGATATCTACGGTAATTTGCCTGGTACCTTTCTGAATAAGACTCCGTTTTAAACGATTCTGCCGAGCTAAGTTATATCGTTTTCTTGTGCTGGGTTAATGACAACTTTTAATTTGAAGCAAACGGTTTTTCTTCTACTCTGCAAACCCAACCATGCATTTGCTTTGGGTATATTATATTACCGCTCATGAAAATGGTCAGATGTAGAATTTTTGAACCTCTGTTAACCCAAGATGCTCGAATAGTTATGCAAATGCATATTTTGCCGACATTGTTGTCCAGTTTTGATGTTTCAGAGACGGAAGTCGCGTGTACCTTTTTTCTACCTCCATAAGAGTGAATTTGAATCAATCCACAAAAAGACTAATAAATTTACGAAAAGAAAAACTTTATTTGTAACATCTATTATAATAAATACTACAGAGTTTTGCAAAAAATGGTAAAATATAATTATAATATAAAAAAGTAATCGAACGTTTAGGAATAGAAGCGAGTAATACCTAGCATGTAAATTGTAGGGCGATTAAAAATATTTTGAAACAAAATAATATTTTGCTTGCTTTGAGAGGAAAAAAATTGATAAGGCAAAAATGATCAGTTTTCTCATTGTGAAAGAGACCATGCTTTAGCTAGTCTGACTGACGATGTTTTCACGCAAAGATATCCATTTGACATGTAATCAATGACCTGACTCAAATTATGAGTTGGATGCAAATAGTATTGCCTACTAGAAGGGTCGCCAACATAGGAAATACATCTATGGTCAGTTGTAGGGTCACTTATCTGTGATGGATGTGGATATGCGCTTGATAGAGTTAGATAGGGACTTGAATTACCGTTCTCTGGACATTTGACATAATAGTAAACTCCATTTGAATCTTCGTACCCGAAAACGTAGACGTTTCCACTACCAATCTTCCAACCGTATAAGTTATACATCCCAGCTGATATGTCAACTTTTATGCCTCCTCCTTCTCTGAGAGAAGAAACACACCACTTGAAATCGGTAGTTGGGTGACGCAATTGTGCATTGAACTGGAACGACGACTCCTCACAAATTGTTTGTACGGGTACAATCTCATCTTCGTCGATTGGAGATGATCCACCTGAACAGGAACACGACGAAGAAGAACTACCGGAGCATGCCGGAGATTGAGGCGATACAAAGTCGATTAAAAATCCTCTCATTTGTTGATTTTTCTTGTAATTGTGCGCGGAAGAGTCCTGACTGATGTCGCTATCATCGGAGCTCTTCTGTGAACACTGACTTTCCATCACTCGCTGTTTTGACATATTAAAGTCACGTAGATCACAAATTGACGTGGAGGACGCTCTTTTGAGCAATGGCCTCAAGGGTCGTCGACTGGTTCTGAAATTACTTTCTTTCTGTAGTTTGTCGATTTTTGCGCCACCTGAAATGCATAATTACCGATTTTTATACATGTAGTGTAGAGTTGAAGGTCACGCGAATAACTATCAAACCTTCGCTAAACTGAAAACGTCCAAAGCCGCGAGCCACTCAAACAATATCACACTGACCCAGATTTCCTGAATTTAACAAACGACTGTGATGGCTTTCCGTTGTGTCTCAAATAGGTGTTTTATACACACAATGCGCTGATTCGGCGGAAATGTAGGCTATTTGAATTCAGTGCCGACATTCATTGATGAAAAAAGTGGAAGTAGCCTACTTGAAAAGTCGGTCAAGTGGTAGGCTATTACAGTTTTGTCATCTTATTTGCATAAACCTTTTATTAGAACAGCCAAAATTTGTCATCAGAGAATTCTAATTTTACAAGTAAATGTTGCACCATATTCCGTCGACAGCTTGCTAAATCCACCCCGTAAGTACCGTAGTTTCACTACACCACAAAGACTCACCTTGGCGGAGGACAACACTTGATCCCATAGCTGACATTTTGAATTCACAAATCAAGTTTACGTTCGTTTGATATAATACTGTTTCAGCGCAAATAAACTTTATATTTTCTAAACTCTAATATATTTTCTGATATGCGTTGCACTGTCGGTATAGATTATTTCGCTTTCTCGTTGAACCCCTATTTATATTTGCGGCAACAATCGAGAGAATATACGCCGCTTTTTTTTTCTTGTTTCGAGGCTCGCAACCTAATCTGACGTAACTCTGTTGATTGTCGCACGCATGCCAGATTATGGTTACGTCACCTTTAAGTCTACCGGACTGACCTGTCGTGATGGAAAGTACCTAGTTAGAGAGCCGATAGCAAACGAATTTTATTAAATATTAACAGTGTTATCTATATTTTTAGTATTAGCTTCTTTTCACACTACCATAATTGGATTCAACGAAGAGACATTCCCAATCGTAAACTTCGATTTGGAAAAAATCATGGTTGGAATGTGTGTATCAAAGTAACGAATATCTTTTGATCAGTCGACAAGCATAACTCAAATAGTTTATTTGAGGCTTGTATTAATAGTTCGGCAAATACAAATGACATGTTGCAAACATGGTACACAATGTTCCTACGTAGGATGAAATATAGCCTGTTCAGTTGTTTGTGATTTCAAATTCAATATGCCGATGCTACCGGTATAATATCCTGAAGTGCAATATTCTCTGAAACACAGAGTTCACACATCATTCTCATAAGATCCGCATCGAATATTCATTAATATGGCCATAGACTACCATAATTTACTTTAACATTAATGGTATTCACGCATAGGCGTAGACTGAGTGCTGATTCAATATAAATCAGAACATGAACTCCTATTACAGGATTTGACCGCATCCGTTATTCACCAACTATGTGAAAGGGCGTTAAGAAACTAAGATCACGTTAGGAAAGTGTGCACTTTCATTTTAATTGCAACTATTGCTGATTTTTATAAGCTGCCTCGTGTAATATACGCATATTATATTTTATTTGGTAATTTAATAGGGAAACATGGATGGTTGAAAACGATGTATTTTGAACTGGTGATATGATAGAGCATAGGCTCACTCTGTAGCTAAATTGCAAAAGCACTGATACAAAATGATGTTTACACTCACTTAGAATTCATTCATAGAGGCAAAATCAACATTAATTATTAACGACTTTGACACGTTTTTCGGCTTTGTTTTTCAAAGTTCTATTTTATTCTGATCAATTCTCGTCACAAAATCCTCTATAGCGTTATTGCAGTACAGAACAAACGGAGGTTTCATCATTTGAGTCATATTTCTTCTTGTCCCAAATTTACCTTTTTCTTGTGATCAGATTTGCAAATAGCCCCTAACTTGCTACTGCGATTTATACATGAAGTTGTATTTTGACGAATCAAAAAAGTATGACACGAAACGACGACTCACTAATTTCTATATTTTATTGCTATTTTGTTGTTTGCAACTTTTTGCAAATCGAGTGCGTCTTAGTTTATATTCAAATCTGTTAAAACTTCAAAATGCTGACTGTGTATTGACATCATCGTAATAACTCATAAAACTTTTAAAAAACATTTCGGTTCCATTTTATATTAATCGAACGAAACACATTGTTCGAAAGAAGTTTTATTTGGTCATTCGCGGGTATTGTGCCTATCGCATCATACATGGTGTTTGGTGTAATAAGTACTTTGTATTCCTTCTACATGAGGTAATAACTCTTTACTTACTGGAGATTCGTTTATGAGATTGCAAAGACGGGGTAGACCAGTAAAGATATAGAAAAATTATTCTGGAAACAAGCAAAATAATTAGTCTCTAAAAAATACATAAAATAACTTGGCTGATTTATTCTGCCGTTCACGTGACCAAACTCCTAAAATCCAATGAAACCTCATGGCTGCGTATTTGTATTGTTATGAGGCTGAGTGCGAAGGGTGCAAAATTAAAAGCATTAAAACTATAGACAAAGTAGAAATTATTACTCATGGAGATTATTCTTAATAATTATATGGATTACATAATAGTCTTTGTTGTAGAGAAGTTGTAATCAATGCGATATTAAAATATATCAAAAATGGGATCTAGAATCAACAGCACATTTACCACATCAAAAATTTAAAACAAACTCTTTCTTCACTTTTTCATATCAAGTATGTGCGGCTGATAACCTTTCAAACTTTCAAGCATACATGTAATTTGTGTCCAAATTTGCCAATTACTGATGTAAAATGCCATAAAAAATAGCTTTATTACTGTTTAGATGATGCTAACGCATGAAACAGGAAATGATTCAAAATGCACAACATTTTAGTGACGCAGTACTACTCATTTTAATGTATTTCTAACTGATCCTCTTCTATTTTTAGGAGAAAGACAATAAAAAAATGCGATCGCTTTGAATGGGGAATATTTGGAAGCACATGTTTAAGGACGATATTCTTTTTTAATACCTATATATATTTAATAAAATCGTAAATAGTAACAGAATAATCCATAGGACGGAGTAACGACCATAATGCCACATAAGGTGATTTGTTCGCACATGAATGAATGGAAAAAAATAGTCCAAGTCGAGATATTTTTCCGATTGTTTGCGGTACATTTACAAACAGCAGTTTGTCATCATGATCAAACAAATCGTAACTTAGACAACTGTGTAACCTCTTTTCTCAATACGATTTACATTATTTATGTATAAGAAACATAATATAAAACTCAACCTGTTCTTAGAATTATAATAGTTTAAACTTTAAATAAGTTTTTTGTTTTAATTTGATTTATACCATGTTCAAATATTGGATCATTTAACAGAAAATATTTGGGGAAAACTTTTATGGCGGATTGTCTTTTTTTCGTGGGTCCGGTGGATGCCTAATTTTGGTTTGCACTGTAATATCATATATTTTTTTTATATTTGTTTCTGTTCCCCCCCCCCCCCGCATTTGAATGTCAATATGCCATTATATATATTTTTTAATAAAAAGTAACATTTAATTTAGTATCCCGAGCTTTACACTGGGTGATATATTAAGAATACCTTCAACTTCAACCAACAAAATTCCCCAGTAGTGAAAAAAAAACTCTGCGATCAACTAAAGAGATATTACTATCCGTAATTAAGAGATTATTCTGTGGGCGTAAAAAAATTTTTTTGTGATATTTTTAAAGAAATTGCTACTTCCAGTTACCAGTTCGTGTATGGTGTCGGTGGCACGATGATTAATTTTTTTTTATTCTTTCGTTTAATTGTACAATGCTTCATCCACGACGGAAATAAATATCCGAATCTGTTTATTACTAGCAGAGTTTTGTGTTTATATGCGTTATATATAATTTTGCGTCTAAGTGACCTCTCTCGTGATACGACATACATGCCAAAGGTTATATTTGTATATGCGCAGGGCGAATCGAGAGCAAATTTTCTCCGTTGTGGAATTTTTCCTTGCGCATTTCAATCTTCCCTATACCAGATCTCATTCATACATTGGTGGTGCCATATAATATCATCACTCTTAGTTGGCACGAAGAAGCAGGACATTACGCTAAGAACATTTTTAATTGACACGTAGCTATTTCATCATGATAGTATAGGCACACCGGGAAAAGGAATAATTTCAACATTGTCGAAGTACATATGTATAATTACCGAAATCTTTTATTTGATTTATTCATTAATATCTCATGTAGGCTGAATCAGTAACTAATATTCCCTTTCTCCTACATCCTGTCCTGGAGCGTTTCAGTACGGAGTGTATTTTTTACTTAAGGAAAATCTGGCTTAGTCGTTTTTCCGGAAGTTTATGGTGAGGAATAATCACGTGGTCATCTCAGCAATTATTTTAAATTTTGATGTTGTTTTTCAAAGTCAATTAAATCCTAAATTAGAATTATTTGAATCGCATCTGTGGTTACCCAACCTTAAGGCAGAATTTGTGCTATTGCCTTATAGCTCATTTCCTAAGTGAAAGTAATGGAAATTATTATATTTTCTAATTATATATCCACCGTAAGTCAAAAGGGTATTCTTAGGGAAATTGAAATGTTGTGTTTCACGGATTCAAACGCAAAAATAAACGTGACTTGTACAGAATTATATTAAATATATATTATTTAGAATTCATCTGCGGTTTTCCAGACTTAAGGCGGAATTTGTGCTATCGTCTAAAGGTTCGTTCCTTCTGTTAATGAACGAAAATTATGAAATTGCCCAATATTAGATCGCAAGACTAAAGTATTAGTTTGTGGAAATAATATCAATAAATAATAATATTCACTCAAAACAAGAAGGCCAGTTTTTAAAATCGTTCACAAAATGTGTTAAGCATTTGATTTCCAAGTAGAGTAAAATGAAGGTAACTAAAGTAGCAAATATTTCATTTATATTAATCTTGAATGTTGCTATACTTGTGGGGCATGTCATATGAGGTATTGAGAATGTATCCAATTCATTTCTCTACCAGTTTAGATATTGGAAAAATTTCATTTTGTTAATATGTAGGCCCATATAGAGAAGAAAAGAGTTTAATTTGAAAATGTACTGAATGACTTTTCATTCTCAACTCCGCCATTTCGCTACTTCGACAAACTATACAAACAAATATTTTCTCTTTGCGTTATTAAATTGTATGTTTTCTTTTAAGTTCTGATAAAAGAAACTGAGAATGCTTCATATCCGATAAAAATACATTTCTCGTCAGATTTTGAGTTTTCCCTTCAACGCTAAAGAACTACTAACACACGTAGTGCTGCTGTATGGATATCACGTGCTGCCTATTAGCTGGGATAGAACTAACTAATGTTGGTGCGAACTAGAAAAAAAATTTTTTGATGTAATTTGGTTAGATCAATTACGTGTTGAACAAAAATTAAACAGAATTATGCTTCTCACAGTGGTGCTTCGCCACTATAATAGTATATGAACCAGATGCTATATTTCTATTGTAGACTGATGTGTAAAAATAGATAAATTACTATGGGGATGAAATTTTGATTGATTTAGTAAAAAAGGTCTGAAATTTTCGAATTATTGTTACAGGCCATTGAAATGTTGAAACACAAATTTGGACTTTTCTAGGTTCAATTTCGATCACGTATGTCAATCAGCATCTGTGTATTAATTCTAAAATATATGTTTGTAAAATTAATTCTGCATTTGATTTCACCACGTCAGTCATTTACGGAAAATTATTCATATTTCAGTGAATATTAAAAATCTTGACCCTCGACACAAATATTTCTACTGCTCATGGGCGCCACTTAGCGATGTTCATACAAAATCGCCGCAGAATGAAACTCCAGGTCTCGAGGACGTGTTGCTCGTTGATCCATTTCGGGCTTGAATTGAAATAAAAATATATCTAACTAGTTATAGTGAACTTATGTATTTAATGTAGCCATGCTAACATCGATAAACACAAGTTTTCTTGCAGGATACACGAGCCAGTCCTCGAGACCTGGAGTTTCATCCTGCAAGAAAAACTTGTGTTTATCAATGTTAGCATGGATACATTAAATACATAAGTTCACTATAACTAGTTAGATATGTTTTTATTTCAATTCAAGCCCGAAATGGATCTATGAGCAACACGCTCCACATAAATATATATATATATATATATATATCACGTTATTATTTATATCATCAAAATACTCGAAAACGAAATACTCGAAAGACCGTGTCGCTGATTATATGACGTCATAATATATAAAAATAATATACAGGCTTTGTCGGTATTGTACCACGAGAAGAAAGTATTACAAAACAATGAAACGAAACCAGACTTCCGTATGGTTGTTTGAGAAACGACTCTTGTGCATCCGGTTGCGTTATTGAAGTTGGGGTATACACACTAAATATAACCTATGCTGAAGAATATGCGATACCGGTAGCATTGAATACCAGTATCGATAATAAGAAAAGAAAAACAGAGTAAACAATGGTTAAAGTTACAAAATTCCCTCTACTCATAATTTCGAATTATTTGTTCATTGGAATAATATCAAGATTCTTTGTGGTAACCAGAAAAGTATCACTATTCTATTCCTTATGTAGAAAGTCCCCGCCACTAATGCAAAAGTGTGAGATTTGAGAAAAGCACCCCCGCCACGTTTTAAGATAGAAAATTAGCAATTACCCCGTTAGAATTCGGGTTAAAAATAAGTTGAAAATTTGAATTTTCAGTGCAATCCATATTCCTTACACTAACTGGAGAATTACTGATTCTTTTATTTTTGATCAGTGGCGGGGGATGTTTTCGCGAGGCCTTTCTACAAAAGTTCCAGTGCCTCTTTGGGAATTAAAGTCTCAAAAGGTTCCAGGAATCACTAACATTGTACTGTACGACTGCTCAAATCTAGTGGAAAAGGGTAGTTTGTAAATCCGGAGAGTCTCTTTCAACGTTGCGCGGTTCGCTAATGGCGATGGTCAGCAAATTCATGTACTTCTGGCCAGTGAGCCAAATTTGCACATTGATGTAGCGTGCGCGCTAAATTAATTTGCGTCTAAAAACGATAAATTTCAAATTATGACACAGCCTCAACTCCCATTTGTGTGTTAATCGGAAGCAAGTTTGGAAAGTCAACACCTTACCACAAGTCCACAACCGTTGCTACGACATACATAGGTGCGCAGATATTGATATATATATAAGTAATAACATAGATAATAATATTATATATAAGTAATTTTTGTTTTTATGCATTAAAGGTGAGGTCGTTCGAGGACCACAAAAAATACGTTCGCGGATCGCAGGTCGACGACCACTGGCCTTCCCACCTCCATTGAAAGCATAATTTACAAATTTTGATGCTGCTGGGAGGCATTTTTGCACGACAACAACAACCCAAAACACCCCAATAAAACTAACAACAAAAAAATTAATTTTTAGCAAAATGATCCATTTCGCGCCCAACAATATTAAGTTTCAAGCCTAGCTCTCACTCTAATGCCATTGATGTACAAGATAAAAGTACTGTATTTTGGCATACGGAACACCGGTCTTCGTTGAGTTATAAAGCATACAGCGCAACAGTTTATAATATCGTTACGTATTTCTAGTCCATATCGAATGAAATATGACAAATGACGTCAAATGCAAGGTTGAATCAATATTCCTCGTTGCGAACAGATGTTTGGGTCATTCCTTGGCATTGTATTCTACGCACAATGTAGTTTCTATATGACTAAGTGAGGTGAACTTTTCTGGCAATACAGCATGATAGAACTTCAAGAACAACTGTTAATCAATGCCTGTTACGTCATTATTTACCTTCTCTTAATGCTGTGTATGTCAAAAATGTTTTTTGTTTTCGCTACGTGTTTTTTATGCAAACCATGCTTGCAAAGATTCCCCGAACGGTAAAGTCTTTTTGACTGAAATGATTGGGCGTTGGTTGTAAGTTGCCACAATTTTATTTTTGACGGCACAGTCCGACATGAACTCCATATTTTAGGATGGAAATTACGCCTAAATTAGAAATAATCAAATGAATTGGCGTATTTTAATTAGATCACATGTGATCACTGATTTGATTAGCATATGTGAATGGTACTTGGAAGCTGTATTAGTTTAAATATGTCTGTATGCGCATTCCAACTCAAGACCACATTTCAACTCAACCTTATAATCACAGTAACATCATTCTAATCTCAGGACCATTCCACATGTAATGTGAAATTCTGGGATTTTTGAACAATATGAAGAGCTTGTCCTATTAAACATTTGATTTCATGAACGTGAATTGCTAACTGAATAAATCTCGGTAACTTTGCAACATGAAAATGTTATTTATATCTTACTTTACAACAAAAGTTTTGTGTGACATTTCCTTATATAAAATTGTCTTTTTGTCATGCAGATAATTTTTATTAATATATTTAAATAAATACGAAGACAACAATACTAAATAATAATAAAATAAATAAATGGACAAAGAATATAGTGGAATGTACCGTAAAATAATTATCCTAAAGACCGATGATTATAATTACAGTGATTATGTTACATCAAAGCATTTGGAAAAACAAATATATATATATATATTTACGGTCAGTTCAGAGAAATCATTTTAGATAATATCTGCTTTGGTTTTATCTAATTTTGCTGACAAAATGGTGAAATAACGTTGGAAAAATATAAATTGTCGGTAAGTTTTTATTCACAATAAGGTTTAGTCTCAGTTCTCAATTGAGTTGCCAAGCAGTAGTATTCTCCATGTTGTTTTCAGTCAGTAGGAGCTTTTCCGAGTCATGAAAAAAGTCAACCCAATGCCCTGTTAACTCATGATGTGCAGGGCGAAGATGATACTTTTGGCTTGAACCGTCATATTCGAGTGAAAAACACCGGTAGTCACTGGCAGTATCGCTGATCTCTGCAGGATCTTCTTCGTTACTTGATAGCAACAGATATGGATATGTTGACGCATCCCTTGATGATGCTCTAACGTAGTAGACTTTATCATCTTCGTCTTGAAAACCAAAAACATAGGTATTGTCGCCAAGTTTCCACCCATAGAGTCCGGTATCCTTGAAACTTGATGACGCTTCTATTTTAGCATTTTCACGAATAGTGGTAACTCCCCATTGTGCATCGGTGTCTGGGTCGCGCAACAGTGCGCTAAACTTATGATTTGATTCTAAGCAAGATGCTGCCGTAAGTTCAATAAGATCTTCATAGACTGGTGTCGAATAGGGAAAATCCAGATCACAAACACAATTGCTCGAAACTGATGTATCCTCTTGAGACATGTAATTGTCCAGAAGTATCGGTAGAAAATGAAATCTTGAAGCTAAACCTGCCATCGGGCTAAGTTGACTTAAGATTCGACCTTCTGAGGGCAATTGAAAAAGTGTTGAATGTGTGTTGCTAATCGGATTGCAGGCGACTCTACCGGCACTACAAAATGATGCTGGACTAGATCGTTGGCGCATCAAACTTGTTCGAGTTCCTTCGCACGAATCGGTCAGACTTGCTTTATTCAACAAGTCTACGATATCCGAAGATGCTTTTTGATTTGTTCTGTTTTCTGAAAACAAAAAACAAATATATTACGAAAAATATTATTTGTGTACATTCACCTTCTGTTAAGTTTTGAAAATTGGTGCCGCCTAGTATATCTTGATTTTAAATCTCACACCTATTACATTACCCTTAGTGTAATAAATTAGATAGGGGAGGCCGAAATGAAGAAGGATCTTTAGGTTTGCTCAAACATGTTCTCCATACATCCTAGACTAGTTGTTTAAAGTGGCCTTCGCAGTGAAGATCTGTAATCCCTCATACGAAAATACATATTTACCTCGCAACAACAATAAGCTTGATCGTGATGCCATTGTTCTTGTATTTTTATTCTATTGTAAAAATCAGTATTATATCTTCACGTTAGATGCCCTTTTCCGATTTCCAATTAACTTTATTCTTTGTATATTCTAACGCTTGCTGAGTATTTGTTTCACAAAGTATTTTTCTAATTCTGAAATCAGTTTAAATGATTCACTTGTTAGCGTATTGCGTTTTTATAGCTTCGCAGGACGAGACACAAATTTTTTTTTTATACGTCATAGGAATGAGAAATTTTAATTCAGTACTTGCACACCAAGCATGATTCGAACTTTTCCACACAATTTGTAAATGGCCCATGTTTGACATGATATTTTACACCGAAACCCGTTGTAGAATGCGCTTCGTGTATTTAATGAAATATCGTAACGAATCTAGGCGGAAGTGTGCGTCACAACATTTCTGCCATCGACTTGATTCCATGATGTGTCCTTCAAAACACTGTGACATACGATTGCTATCTTTATCCTGAACGGATTCAGATAACATATTTATACATAAGCGTAATGTTGACAAAATTGCTGGATTTTTCTCTCGGAAACAAAGATCAGAATTTCAATAATGTAATTCCAAGCTGTGTCGTTTCTTGTCAGGAAAATTCCACAAATTACAATTTGAATTTTATCTTTGTAAAAAAGTTTGCAAGGCTTATCATCAATTTGCTTTCTATGTCGGTCCGTTTATCATCTTTCAAATAAAACTACAAAAACAATAATATAGAAACGTTTGACAAATCGGAATAATTGCTTGAAAAAGTAGAAAATATCAACCTTACATAATTCACTGCGAACAGAGCCGTATTTCGAATATATATTTTATATCCACGGCGTCTCTGTCGTTTGAGTTATTCATTATTCCCAATTGTTTCTACTCTACCCTTTATTGCTTATAGTTTAAGACTGAACTTGATTGATTTCAAATCGTATAAATTAGATATTTACCTCGAGGCGTCTAATGCTTCACTTGCGTTGCCTTATTTAAGTACCCTATACCGATAGCCCCACTTCAAGATTCAAACTTCATCCGATTCGAGCGAGTCGAGATAATCAGTGATTCGACTTGACTTTGGACCCAGTGAATTTGACTTAGTTAAGAGACCCTAATTGAATCAGGTAGCTAATAATTTTAGCCCGATACTTCGAAAAGTATCTTTTTATGTATAATAAATATTTTATTCAAGTAATCTTTTATACAACCAGTTTAGCATAGTTATATGATGTAAATGACAATTCTTACGATAGATTACAGTTCCTGGAATTGAGGGTTACCTAATAATCCTCTCCAAAAATTTCTAACAATCTGCTCTTCTACAATTGCAAATAACGAAATCAGCATTTTCCATTTATTATTAATACTAAATGCCCATAGGCAAACTGAGAATGCCATGGAAAGCATATTCTCAAATACAATAGCAAAAAATGCGTATCAACAATTATCTCTTGACGGCAATGGCCTGGAGCATGAAAACTTTGAAACACATTATGGGTATGATGATGCCACAAGTTTATGGCTTAATAATAGTAAGTTAATGTAACTACCATATTCAGGTGATTCCAGAATAAAACTCGTTTTATTTTATATTTTGGTAGTGGACTGCATCATTGAGCCCATGAGATGTTATCGGGTTTATTCTTTGGAAAATAAACCAAAAAAATCATCATTACTGTTGCAATCCAACGAAACAGAATTGCCTATTTTTAACTCTAGTCGCCACGGAAAGTTTGAGTTGCAATCATTCTAGCGCACTGCATGGCTGGTTTTATTACCATTTATGTATGGTATGAAAGTAAGCATTTATTTCTTACTTTGTGACACATAAATATATTGTAAATAAATTACAAAGAGTCTATTCTAAATTACTGTCCATAGGTAGTCTGTAAAGCCTAACAATGTCAATTATTTTTCATTATTTATTGTTTTTTCAAACAAGAGGGTATAATTTATTACATTAGATGAAAATAATTGAAAGATTATATAAACAGAACAATAAAACAGTTTAACGTTTGTTCTGTTACTACATTCCATTGACATTTCTATTTTGCGTTATGTGTAAAATCACCGTTTCATTATTTTTTAAAGCACTTCAAAATTATGGCCTGACTATCTGTGATGCCGAATAAAGGACAAAGTGGTATTGGGAGAAAATAGGTTCAAATTGCGCCATTTGAAATATGTCGAGAGATTCACAAGTATATATCACAATTCACAACTCTAGTACACCTGGATTCATCACGAAGAAACGCGGTTGAGATAAGACCACTGTGTACATATTAAAAAAGCATAGCTGACTTCGAGATGCATAGCTTATAAATAAGTTATTTTTACGGGACGTAACTTGAGCCTTCATAGCAATTGTCATGCCAATTTGAATTACGTACATCAATTGAACGACGATGTTCTTATTGTTTGAAATAAGTTTCTTGGGTATGAAGTGGACATATACAGATCGTTGTTTTGACTTTCGTGCCCATACCCCGCGGGCCAAATCCAGCCCGTTGGGAAATTCAATCTGGCCCGCCTGATGCTGCCACAACCAAACTAAATCAGGGAATTTGAAGATTGCAATAAAATTTGGTTTTGGCACGAGGCTTATTGTTTTCCACTTTTGCTTTTGCAACACTGTGAAATTGTTCATAAAATGTAAGTGTTACGTCACACTTACATGGCCCGCCAGTGTTGTTGGACAAAATTTCTGGCTCCAGTTTCAAAAACCTTGCCCCCCCCCCTGATCTAAACAATCTGAAATGACTAGCACTGCAATTATTCAAATAGGTTATTAGCATGTATGACACCTTGAATGAGTTTTATAGCCCTTCTTCCTACTGCATACAATTTGCATAGAATAATAATTAACACCACCTGTGATGTCATTGATGAATCGAAGCATGATTCTGGTACAAACAAGATATATCGAGTTCATAACGTAATTTAGAATACTCCAGTCATCATTGCACGCTTTGCCAGTCAAATTATATATATTTGTTTTTATTGACTCAATACACTATTAGCAAGTCGTTTTATATGTAAATCGAAAAAAAAGGAAAATAGTTTCGCATCCGGAGTCACTTGTGGGTGCTTCTAACTACAAATCTATATTTGTTTATGTAAAAATAGTGAAATGAGTTTCCTTTCCAGACTTCGGTTTCTTATACAGCAATAAAATCACAAAATAACCTAAAGTTAAAGTTGTTGTAAAAATACCACGTAACTTTGATAATGAAATTTAACCAGTTTCCTGATTGATACATTTGTTTCGAAAGTAGAAAAATTTTTTAGTTCAAGAAAAAGGCCAGTAGCTTCCTTGAATTTGATCAAAATACTGCAATATTACTGATTAGTCATTACAGGATAAATGTTTAGTATAGGATGAAAAGCCAACAATCAAATTGATAATGAAATCGTGAAAAATTACCAACAATTTATAAGATTATAGGTCTGCGTAATTATATTCAAATGTGCCGAACTATTTCAATGCATTCTATGATGACTTTTAGACATAAATTTTTTTGTTAAACTTCATCATTGCAATATTTTGCAATTTAAAAGAAGATCTTTTATAATGGTCCATATCATCCATGTATCATTAACCTATCATCTTCTATTTTACAAAACTAATCTTGTCATGCGAAGCGCGTTGAAATACTTTGAAGCCTACTGATCTACGCTGCATAAAATGGCGAAGTATAAATGTTTAAAACCTTGTAAACGCAGAAGACCTGTTAGTTAAAACAATTATATATTATGGTAGAGAAGGCATTTTTTTACCTCGATATGAACATAAAACATATATATACTGTTTCAGATTTTCATAATTTATTCGTGGTATAAAAAATATGCATTACGGCAACAAACAAACGGGAATGTCGATCAGAGACCGAAGACTTATCGATCGAAAGTTAGGGGATCCCCCAAAACAGCGCTCTTACTCCATAGTGACACCTTGTGTCCCATCACTAATTATTTAATAACTCGCTAATTATACGACAGAATTCATCCAAAATCAATAGGCTTCTGGTACGACATATGATGAATGCACATGCAAAATGTTGAGCAGATTCAATCTCGCTTTCGTGAGATATCGCGTGCATCTAACAGACAAACAGACAGACAAATACCTATCAACATACTTACCGATTAAAATCGATAAGTAATGAGTTGAATTATTAGTATCATTGGATAGGAACTGGACCTATGAATCATTTTACTACTATACCACATGTTAGTCTAGGCCTAGGGTTGCTATACGCCTTATTTCCCCCTAATTTTAGTGGTCAACTTGGCGTCAGGAAGAAATGTTAAAAAGTGCTTAAATGTCAGGGATTTTCGAATACAGTGAATCCCTGCTACAAATCCCCGAGTTTTCAGATATTGCGCATCCACAAAATCCTATTTTTTCAGATATTGCGCATCCACAAAATCCTATTTTTTCAGATATATATATATATGAATGTCACTTTTAGCATATGTGTGCAATACGGATTGCGTCGCATTCAGATAATTGTGATTTGTGATGTCACATATGACCTGAATTGCCAGCATTTTGCAATCGTTTTTTTTTGGTTGCACTATCTTTACCTGTACTTAATTCCGTGCTGGGCACCTTCTCTAGTCGGAGGCCCACATGTGGGAAAATAAAGTCCCCCGCGGGCCGGATAATTACAAAAAATACTATTACAAAAAAAAAAATTTTGTTCCGTCACGCTTGTTTGTCATTTTCTTCAACAAACCCAGTGCTCGGCTAAGGAAGGAATTTTTGGCATTTGTGCAGACCAATGTAATAAGACATTTCAGCAATTCCTCTTATACTACCGGTCCAATCGAATAGCTTTTGACGTTTTCTAACATCGGTTGAAAATTTTAACTTAGTATTGCAGGGCGAAATTACGGAACATCTTACATATTTCGATTTCTATAGCAACCACAACTATGGTAAGTACCAAAATAAATGTCTCACGTTTTTGAATTGCGTTTCTTTTCCTTTTTTTATTCTACTGTTCCATTATAGGCCGATGACCACAATAGGCCGGCCAATGACCACAAAGGAATTTTCCGGACATAGGAAGTCAGCGATTTGATAATATCAGATCAGTATGAGTTACAATGAAAATGCATGTCTGTCAACTATGCATTGGACACGTAGTGGACATAGCGATCGTTTCAATATTATGTTGTTGTTCTTGTTCTTTGACACGTTTTTAAAAAGTCGCTTTTCTCTTTGAAAACTGGACCAATTGCTTTGAAATTTTCAGTGGTTGAAGATAAAAATTTTCTTCAGAAGGCTATTACTTTTTTTTGCTATGACGTCATCAAAATTATTGCCATTAGGTGGCCATATATTTGAGCATAGCTCTCTTGTTTTAATCGAAGGGGAGCACTTTTTGTTCCGTCACGCTTGTTTTTCATTTTCTTCAACAAACCCAGTGCTCGGCTAAGGAAGGAATTTCTGGCATTTGTGCAGACCAATGTAATAAGACATTTCAGCAATTCCTCTTATACTACCGGTCCAATCGAATAGCTTTTGACGTTTTCTAACATCGGGTGAAAATTTTAACTTAGTATTGCGGACGAAATTACGGAACATCTTACATATTTCGATTTCTATAGCAACCACAACTATGGTGAGTACCGAAATAAATGTCTCACGTTTTTGAATTGCGTTTCTTTTCCTTTTTTATTCTACTGTTCCGTTAACTATAGGCCGGCCAATGACCACAAAGGAATTTTCCGGACATAGGAAGTCAGCGATTTGATATTATCAGATCAGTATGAGTTACAATAAAAATGCATGTCTGTCAACTATGCATAATCAATTGTGCTCAAGGTAGAAAAAGTGCACCTAAAATTGAA